TAAAACCTAAACCCAAATGTGGTTGCTGGGCTGCCAAGGTATCACCCCGCAGCAGGGCGTCGTGTGCCGGGGCAAAAAGTACTGGCAGACCCTAAACCCTAAACCCTAAGTGTTCAGGCAGTGTTTAGGGGCTTTAGGGGAATTTCGGTTCAGGGTGCGCTCTGGAAGCTCATCCTCGTGGCTTGGGAAAGGACTGTTGTGAGCTAGGGTTTAGGGTTTAGGCTTTAGAGTTTAGGCTTTGTTACGTGAATTTTGGGTTTATAGGGGATGTTGGGGGGTTGATGATCCAAGGACTGTCTTGCTTCGGAGCCTCTAGGGTTAAAGGTTTAGGATTAAGGGATGCTCCGTTGCTAACAGTCTTGTGCTCCAAGTCCTGGGACTTTGGTGCCGCCAGCAGCAGTAGGAGCGTCTTTGTCCTGTGCCGCCCTCAGAAGTAGGAGAGGGCGTTAGTTCCTCATAGTTTTTTAAATTTTATATGTTTATTTATCTTTGTATATATATATATGTATATTTATTTATGTATTTAGCTATCTGTAGGGAACACAATTACCCAGCTGTCTTTGTTCTCTATTGAGAACTGCAAAGTTATTGACGACCCCTGCCAGCACTAAAACAGCATGTTCGCCATCGCACATTTCGCTCACCCTAAAACTCTGAACCCTCAGCTCTAATTACATTCCCTACACCCTAAACCCCTAAACCCTAAAAACCCTAAACCCTAAACCCTAAACCCTAAACCCTAACCCCAAAATCTCCCAGGATATCGGAGAAAGACTTCGGTGTTCTGGTGGCCCTCAGCAAGCAACAGAAAGGCCTGGTCCCGGTCACGGACTTCATGAAGCCGGAGGAGCGGGATTCCAGGGTTTAGGTCCTAAACCCTAAACCCTAAACCCTAAACCCTAAACCCTAAACCCTAAACCCTAAACCCTAAACCCTAAACCCTAAACCCTAAACCCTAAACCCTAAACCCTAAACTTGATTCTGGGCTCAGGGTTGAGTTGCGAAAGCCTCACAGTTGCTTCCGTTGAGCATGTAGGAGCGCAGGGCTCCGAACTGAGCCTGGCGAACGATGTACTTCGAGGTTCATGGGCAGCTTTAAGTGGGGCTTTGGGTAAGCCTAAGTGGGGTTGCAAGTAAGGCAACTGCAGTGTTAAACTTTTCTTGGACAAGTGAGGATGTTGGTGGCGAGCCAGTTCCAGACCTTCGCCCGGGCATGCCGGTGACAGCTCCTTAGCACCAGAAGCGATGATGTCCAGTGGTACCGCTAGTCCCTTCTTGGGGCTTAGGTTCCTGTGGTAAAACTCCATGAAGGCCACAAAGGCACCCTTATTCTTTTATTTTTTTGATTTCAACGTTAGGGTTCCGTAGTTCAGCTGTAGGTTTTACAGGTGTTGCTTTAATGGCCCTACACATAAGCCCTCAACCCCAATCCTTAAACCCTAAGCCCTACGTAATCTCCAAACTCTCAGCCCTGAACTATCAACCGACGGTTATCTCACGCAAACACAAGGCAAGGTTCATGGTTCGAAACCCCAAACCCTACAAACCCTCTAACCCTATGAGGCGTGGGTGGCACAAGGCTCCCAGGCTCCGAATGCCGTGAAGGCTTAGGCCTTGATTCTGTGCATAGTAGGCTTAGGCTTTGGGGGCTGCTACTTCAACCGAAGCCCCCTAAGGCCTCAAACGAAACCACTGAGGTCTACATCACAAGCAAGAGTGGAGATACCAGAAAGATAAACCTGAGCTTGCGGATTCTTGGATGCAAGGTTCTACGCATCACGGTCATCCCCCCGCACCCCCACACCCACCCCACCCCCCCCACCACCCACCCCCCACCCACCCCCCACCACCCACCCCCACCCCACCCCCCCCCACCCCCCCCCACCCACCCCCCCCCCCCCACCCACCCACCCACCGAGCAAGCATGCACTGTCTGGATGGATGACAGCTTGTCATGACCGCGAATCATCAGCGGAACGTGGCCTGGCCAGGTGAGTAGCTGAGGCCGAAGCCAACATGCTTACTGGCTCAAAACCCAACTTTTCAACTTTTGGGCTTCTTATAAAGTAGTTTACTCTGAAAGTTTCAACTTTTATTTCCTTGGGTTTTGGGCCAGTAAGTCAAGGTGGCGATCGCAGGCAGTGCGCGCTGGTTTTGGGACGTAGGTTTGCCATCCAGCATGGCCCACCATGAATTTCACCGGACACGCAGAGTAAAGTTGCACGTCAACACAATCCTCAAGACTGGCAGTATGCTCTTGAGAGAAGGCAACGGCATATGCTGCGCACCAGGTTCCGAGCCATCTGTACTGATCTGAAGCCCCAACGATCCGTAAACTTTCTATCACCCAGGCCTTAACCCTCCCTAAACCCTAAACCCTACACACTCCACCCTAAACCCTATAAACCCAATAAAACCCTTTAAACCCTATAAACCCAATAAACCCGATAAACCCTATAAACCCTATAAACCCTTAACAAACCCCTTAAACCCTGAAAAACCCTAAACGCCCTAAACACTCTAAACACCCTAAACCCTAAACCCTAATCAATCAAACCCTCAACCATAAGCTGTAAAACATCTACACGAGGAAGAAGCCGAAGCCCTCGCAGCGGCTTGAGAAGTTGATCTGCGATGGCCGGCATCCCTACGAGGGCGTTGTGCCACGGCCTTGGGGGAGTAGCTTCAGAGGGTTTAGGGTTTAGGGTTTAGGGTTTAGGGTTTAGGGTTTAGGGTTTAGGGTTCAGGTTGTTTATTAAAGGCTGGTGGTCGTTAGGGTTTAGGGTTTAGGGTTTAGGGTTAAGGGTTCAGGGTTCAGGGTTCAGGGTTCAGGGTTCAGGTTTAGGGTTTCGGGCCACGTCACAGCGCAGGATCTTGGCTTAGCTTGAAGAGATAGCAGGTCCTTGTGGGTAGCACTTGGAGAGTTGGGATCTTGGCTTACGAGCTACAATCGACAGCTATAGGTACGGGTAAAGAACCGTAAGTGGGGTTAGCCTACTTACGAACCCTAGCTACTACTAAGTCCCCGGATCCTCCAAGTATTGCAGTTTCCCTAAACCCTAAACCCTAAACCCTAACGCCTAAACCCTAAACCCTAAACCCTAAACACCCTAAACCCTAAACCCTAAGTCCCAGACCCTTGTAAAACCCTAAACCCTAAACCTTTCTCGATGTGGCGGTGTTCAAGCCCCGGCTCTCGGAATTGCACTGTACCTGCGAATCAGGGCTTTTGTATGGGTTGTATGCCGTCTGAAGCTTCAGGGTTTAGGGTGTAGGGTGTAGGGTGTTTAGGGTTTAGGGTGTTTAGGGTGTTTAGGGTTTAAGGTGTTTAGGGTTTAGGGTTTAGGGTGTTTAGGGTTTAGGGTTCAGTGTTTGCTTTGGGGCTTTTCTTTTCGGACCTCCCCAAACCGCGATGCCTAGACTCCCTGAACTCCCTTGAACGGGCTTAGGTTCCCTTATGAACCCCTTTAGGCAAAAAAGGGCACCTCTTTTTAAGCCTTGGTTACTGGGCAGCCTAGCCTTACCAGGACGGGCTATTAGACCCTATAACCCTTAAGAAAGGGCCTTTATAGGGCTGTTTATGGGGGTTATAGGGCCTAATAGCCCATCCTGGTAAGGCCCTCAAAGCCCTAAAAGCCTGAGGGCCTCTGTGGCGTCCTTTGGGGTGTTCGTGGACATCGGCTTCGAGCGCAGAGGTTTCCTTCCCAACCGGCTTTTGCCAACAGAGGCGACTGGCTGGAAGCCTCAACCCTAAACCCTAAACCCTAAACCCTAAACCCTAAACCTAAACCCTAAACCCTAAACCCTAAACCCTAAACTCTAAACCCTAAACCCTAAACCCTAAACCCTAACCCTATCCCCTAAGCCCTAAACCCTAAACCTTTTCAGGGTGCCGGGATATTTACAGTTTAGGGCTTTAGGGTTTAGAGCTTTAGTTGTTTTGTTTATGATATTTTTCTGTTTAGGGTTTTCGGGTTTAGGGCGTTTGAGGGCTTCAGGCGTTTTAATGTCTAGGGTTTTAGGGTTTAGGGCTTTTTGGGGCTTGGGGTCTTACTGTTTAGGGTTCCAAGGTTTAGGGTTTGAGGTCTTGGGGCTTCATGGTTTAGGGTTTGGGGCTTTAGGGCTTGGGCTTTTAGGGTTCAGGCTTTTTGGGTTTAGGGTTTAGGGCTTTAGGGTTCAATGCTTTAAGGGTTTGGGGCTTGAGGGGGTTAGGGCTTTAGGGTTTACGGGTGTAGGTTTTGGGGTTGTAGGATTTACTGCTTCAGGGTTAGGGTGTTAGTTTTTTTTGTTTAGAGTGTTAGGGTTGAGGGTCGACATGTGCTTTATGGGGTGTGGCGCGTCACCCCTTTGCTGTTCTAGATGCACAAGGCTACCACCGAAAACGCTAGAACCCTACCCTAAATTTCTTAGTAGCTGAGTGAGTACACTTTACACCTTTTGGGATACCATAATCCCCTATAGAACTGAAAGTGTACACTTTTGGGGTCTTATGAACTCAGCCACTCAGATTTAGAGCCTCTAGCCGTCGAGCCCCAGAGACCTAGATCTCTAGAACCCCACAGTCACCAAACCTTTGAACCGGAGACCCTGGGAGCCTACTTGGAGGTTCATGGGTACTTAGAGGCAGGGTAACAAGAACCCGAAATAAAGTTTGAACCATAGATACCCTGCTTATATACTTACCTAGAAGTACCCATGAACCTCCAGGTAGAACACTTCTAGGGTTCGACCCTTTTTAAGATGAACCTCCAAGTAGAAACACTTCTAGAGGTTCTGCCATTTTCAAGGATCCCGAAGGGAAGAAAAGGGCCGTATAAGGAGTATACTAAGGGGAACCTTTGGGGGTACAACCTTAGGGGTACGAGTCTTCATCCCTTGAACACTGAGCCCCGGCAACCCCAAGCCATAAACTTGCAGGTCAAGCTGAAAGTGGGAGATCCTGCGGCTTGACTGCTCTTGAGGGCCATGTCTCATTGTTTAGCTCCCGAAACCCAGAACCAATGGGCTGTTGAACTAGGGGCTTCCAGTCGCCCTACACCCTTTGCCCGGAAGCTCCATGATCAGCCCTAAACCCTAAACCCTAAACCCTAAACCCTAAACCCTAAACCCTAAACCAGTTGAGGTGGTGGTGTATGTGAGCGTCCAGCATTGGCGGACGGGTCGCTTTGAGGTGACCCTGACACTCTGCGGCTGAAGGGTTCGGGGAGTTTCCGCCATTTCTCGGTGTCCCTATGGACTGGACTTTAGGGTTTAGGGTTTAGGGTTTAGGGTTTAGGGTTTAGGGTTTAGGGTTTAGGGCTTAGGGCTTAGGGTTTAGGGTTTAGGGATGGACTTTAGTATTTGGGGCGTACAAGGGCTGCCCCCCGGGCGTCGTGGTTTTGGGGGGTTGCAAAAAGACGTAGCGCTTTGCGGGCTTAGGCAGCTTAGGGATTGAGCTTAGGAAACCTTAAGGGCATCTATACTTTGTGGATCCTCCCAGGGGTCTGGGTTCTTGCAGGAGGTCTCTGGTCTGCGTGTGGCGTTTCGGATTTTTTGCGCTGAGCGGTGTAGGATTTAGGGTTTACGGTTGAGGGTTTAGGGTTTAGGGTTCAGGGTTCAGGGTTCAGGGTTCAGCGCTAAGGGTTCAGGGTCTATGTTTGGTTTTGTGTGGCGTCGTTCAGGCACACCCTGCCCGGCTTCATTTAGTTGGTGTCTGCAGTTTTTGGTAGGTGTACATGATGAGTGCATGCGTATATATCTATGTAAAAATGCATAGATATAATATATATATATATATATATGTATATGTATGTATATATATATATATCGTGACATAGATAGATAGACTGGTGGACGGATAGTGGGTGTCCATTTTGGCAGCACGAGCAAGACCATGAAGCAAATACACAGCAATAAGTTAAAAGCCTGCTGCGTGAGTGCTTGTAGTCGATGCAGCCCATGTGAGGCCGAAACCCGAAACCCTAAGCCCGAAACCCTAAACCCTAAAACCTAAACCCTAAACCTTGACCCCTAAACCCGAAACCCTACACCCCTACCACCGAAGTATGGGATGCAATCTCAGCCCCATAGCTCACGTAAGGACACCTTTCGAGAAGCCGCGCTCCTTTATGGGTGACCTGGTAGTTGACGGGCCGCCAGGCACAGATGAGCTGGGCTGTTTCCTGAGTCCCGAAAGTGATGGTCCCATGGTCCAAACACCCAATCGCTAAACCCTACACCCTCTTGGCAGTTTTTGTGTGTGAAGCTGTTTCAAAGCATGCTTAAAGTCTTGGGGTGTCAGAGACCAAGGGGTTTAGGGTTGAAGGTGTAGGGGTTTTGGGTTTCGAAGTGTTCTTGGGCTGAGTGCACGAGCAAGCACAGAGTATCGACCCTTCTTGAGTGTCTACTCACGCAACACGACGCCCTGCTTGAAACCGCCTAACTCGCAAACCCTAAATCCTACACCCAAACCCTAATCCTAAGCCCCTGATCAAAGGAGCATTCAGCCTTCCCAGCCCAACGTCAATTTTCATCCCCCTGGAATTTTAGAACCTAACTCCCTAGAGGGCCTCGAGTCGGCTAAAGAAGGGCTTATGGGCTTAGGGTTCTAGGGTTTAGGGTTTAGGGTTTAGGGTTTAGGGTTTAGGGTTTAGGGTTTAGGGGAGTTTAGGGCTTAAGGGAGTTTAGGGCTTAAGGGAGTTTAGGGTTTAGGGAGGTCTCGCGTCGAGGGCTTCGGCATTTCGGGTTGTCGGGGTAAGGGTCGTGAGCTCCATAGGAATCAACTAGGCACCATCCTGGACCTTATATGTATATAATATATATATATATACATATCATATCATATCATATCATATCATATCATATCATATCATATCATATCATATCATATCATATCATATCATATCATATCATATCATACCACATCATACAGCATATAGCGACAGAACATAGAACATCTCTGCATATATCCATCGTAGATTACACACCCTAACGATATAAATAGATTAATTATGCATACATATATATATATATAGATATATATATATATACATACCTACATACATACATATATGTATATATATATATATCTGTTTATTTATATTTTTATATTATAGAGAGAGAGAGAGAGAGAGAGAGAGAGAGATCGCACCTCCCTGAAGTCACCCAGGCGTACCCCGTACGAGGGCTTCGTGAAAGCTGTGCTGGGGGATGTGGCGGTCGTCGATTTCGGCCATTCGGTGCAGGGTACTCTGCCACTGGGCTGGCTGACTCAGCAAGTTCAGGGTTTAGGGTTTAAGGTTTAGGGTTGTTAGGGTTGTTAGGGTTGTTAGGGTTGTTAGGGTTGTTAGGGTTGTTAGGGTTGTTAGGGTTGTTAGGGTTGTTAGGGCTCCAAAACACGGACCCTGAACCCCCCAAGGCGTCGAAGCCCAACCCGAAAGCTGAACCTGTTTAAAACCTCCAAGTACCGTTAGGGGCTCGGGTTCTTGAGGACATGTTTGGGGTCAAGGTTGCTCGGTTCATTTGGGTGTAAGGTTGGGGGGGTTGAGTGTCTGGGGCTGTTAGGTTTAGGGTTTCGGGTTTCAGACCTGGAAGTTGAGCGCTGTCCCGAGTTACGAGCCTGGAAGGCGTGCGGCAGCAGCTCGTTTGGCGCCGCACAAACACAACAGGAAAGTCCAAGCAAAAGATGTGATCGCCATCTTCCTGCTGTATCGTAGACAGCCGAACTTGAATCTCGATTTAACCTGTGGTCTTTAACGCGATATGGGGGTTTCCGGAATGGGGGTAGCTTTCCACCGTTATAAGGAATGTAGTAGTATGATAAGGAGGGACGGGGTAAGGGGCACCCTATTCTGGGAAATGTATATATATATATATATAGTTCTCTATATACATATATATGTGAATATATGTCCATACATATTGAGGCTGTTGGTCCTGATTGCGTTCACGCAAGGCTCATTTCCGAGGAGGAGCGAGACACGCTAGCGGAAGGGACGATGCTGACCGTCTACGCATGGCTACCTGACATGCATTTAATGCCGGAGGGCCGGAGGCTAATGTTTTTTGAGGTGCTGCATTGCAAGATTCCATACATACCATGTTACATGATGTCACGGCATGTTGTGTTCTGTCATGTTAGGTCAGCCTTGGTTTAAGGTTTAGGATTGATAAACCCTAAGCCCTAAAACCGAAACCCTAAGCCCTAAGCCCTAAGCCCTGAACCCTAAACCCTAAACCCTAAACCCTAAACCCTAGACCCTACTAAACCTTGAGCCCGAAGCCCTGAGCCCAGGCGGCGGATACGACGTGAACGTCGCGTGCTGCTCTCCAGGATCAGATTCAGGGTCTAAGCAGAATACATGATCAGAAAGAGTTAATTTTGCAGAAAACTTACGCATAGGGTTTAGGGTGGGTTTAGGGTTTAGGGTTTAGGGTTTAGGGTTTGGGGTTTGGGGTTTGGGGTTTGGGGTTTGGGGTTTAGGGTTTAGGGTTTAGGGGCATGCTTGGCATGTTGGGATTGCATGTCGGTTCTCCGAAACAAAATCCCAATTCAAGCGCGCGAGCCTGCAAAAGACCTGCAAGCAATCTGCAACCAAGCATGCCACCTAACAATCACGAAAAATGCATCTGCAAAGTCAGCGCGCAACATGTCTGCAGCATATCCGCAATGGTTTGCCTATCTGTGGCTTGTTTAGGATTCAAGGTTTAGTTATAGGTAATTTGGGAGTCCAGTACCCACATATTCCTCAAGGGTTGTACAGGGGCAAAAGCGAACCTAATAACGAGTAAGGCAGCTTGCGTGTGTGAGCCGAAAGGACTCCGCGGATCTTTCCGGTTCTCCAGTTTCAGGTCCACCGGGGGCAAGAGGTTTGTGGATTATGTGGGCGTTTCCCAAAGTAGGGAAATAGATGGCAGCCGCTTAAACGGGACCCGAAAAAAAGGGTACCCCTACTTTCGGAACCGCCATGTGAGGTTAAAGCAGCCCGAACCCCCCCAAGCCTATTAGGTCTGAGGGTTTAGGAGGCACTTTTTCTGCGATACCGACTGTTTCCTCTGATCCTGATGTTAGATGCTTCCTAGCTGCCATGGCTACTCGACATTCCTAAACCCTGAAAACATTGAAACGCTCACAACTTTGTGTCGTTACAGATTCGTGCCTTATTTGTGCTAGAGAAAAGAGTTGCTCGACCAAAGAAATGGGTTTAGGGGCGTCGGATTGCTTGGTCCGCAAACCGTTCAATTTCTGGCCGTGTTGAGTGGGCATCGGCCATCAGGGTTTAGGGCGTAGGGCTTAGGGCTTAGGGGTATAGGGTTTTGGGCCCCCAAAAAGTTTGACTGCAGCCCTTCGGGCCTTTACAACTATTCATTTGTTAGTGATCCCCCTTCAAAATCTAGACCCTATGGCGATCATACGACCATTATGCCGGTCAGATGGTCGGTTCTAGTTTAGAGTTTCAGGGTCCTTGATTAGGGTTAAGGCAGTTCAGGAGCCGAATACATCCTGCGACACACGGCAGCCTTGCTTTCATTGAGGGGCCCAGGTTTCAAATCGCTAGTCTTGATATACCCTAAGTCTAACGTTATTGGATGATGTACTACACGTATCTCAAAGGTTACCGTGTGGGTTCTTTTGTAGCTTTCAGATATCCTTCATACCTCCTCCGTAAGGTTGCTTCAGGCCCTTGTTGCCTGAATGCTTGGGGTTTATGGTGGGCTTGGGGCTAGGGCTTGGGCTTGCTGTTAAGTTTAGGGCTTACCAGGTTTAGTAGTTCTAGGATCTACAAGCCCTTGGAGGATGGTACAGGGTACCCAATTCCCTGTTTCCTAAACCACTAAACCCTATAAACCTCAACCCTAAGCCCGGCTGAGGGTTTCAGGATGCCCAAACATACTTTGATTCTGGTAAAGGGAACTGGCAAGTCAAGCTGTGATGCCAGGACATTGTGGCGGATGGCCAGACGCCCTACAGAGCCACGGTTCTCAGCGGACCGTTTCGACCCTCGACTGAGAGGGGTCCCTAAACCCTAAACCCTAAACCCTAAACCCTAAACCCTAAACCCTAAACCCTAAACCCTAAACCCCTAAACCCCTAAACCCTAAACCCTCAACGGACATTTGCTCCGATCTTGGGGAGTCGTATGAATATTCGGAGCTCGCCTTCTCCTAGGGGAGGGAGGTTCTGGGGTGGAGCTGCTCTTCTTACTGCTTCTTCGTAGGGAATGAGGGAATTCGATACCCCATAGAACCCCTTGAAGGGGGTTTAGGGTTTAGGGTTTAGGGTTTAGGGTTTAGGGTTTAGGGTTTAGGGTTAGGGTTTAGGGTTTAGGGTTTAGGTTTTAGGGTTTAGGGTTTAGGTTTGTGTCACCTCAAGGGCTCCACGCTCCCTAGAAACCACCCTGAACCCCAAGCTCGAACCCGAAACCTCAGGCAGCCCTACCCTGAAGCCCAGCCTGCAAGGGGTGCGGGTTTAGGGTTTAGGGTTTAGGGTTTAGGGTTTAGGGTTTAGGGTTTAGGGTTTAGGGTTCAGGCTTAGCATGAGATACAGCCTAGGGCACGTAAGCTGCAGTCTCTTGGTGCTTTTTGGGGCTTCAGGGGCGGGTCCTCTGCCCCAAAGCCCTCCAAACCCCAAATCGCGAGCTTTATACCCTTAGGGTTTAGGGTTGATGGCACCATCCCAGTCTCCCTTACCTTCATGAAAGGGTTCTGAAGTACCGGGCCTTGGCTGTTATAGGGTATATACGGGGTATATACAGGTTCCATAATGAAGGGGCCCCAAACTTAGGGATCCTGAAGAACGACGTTAAGATTCAGGTGACACTGGCGACTATGCCTTGGACATCGATTGCGAGGAGGTGGGGCTTCGACGGTGTTATTTGGAGCGCTAAAGGTGGGAGAAGTTCACCCCACACCGCACCCTACGCCCTAGACCCTGACAAGCCCTCCTTCAACCCTTCCCTAACCCTTTCTCGTACTAGGTTACGGGTAATAGGGTTTAGGGTTCAGGGTTCAGGGTTCAGGGTTTAGACAGATGTGTAGTTATCAGAAGCCTAGAAGTACTCCAAGTAAGGCCAGCTCTAACTACGGCGGCTTCTCTTAACCCGCTTATGGATCTCTGGATTCCCTAGTCGCTTTAAGCCCCAAACCCCAAAGCCCGACCCCTAAACCCTAACTTTAAACCCTACACCCTAAACCCTGAACCCTAAACCCTAAACCCTAAACCCTAAACCCTGAACCCTGAACCCTGAACCCTGAACCCTGCCAAAGGTTCCCCTTCTGCCGGCAACCGACCCGCGGGTGGTCCATGCCAAAGAGGGGAGCCTTGTCTTGTGAGGCAGCTTGCAGACCCTAAGCGACCAAAACCTTAAACTCGAAACCAGGTTTAGGGCTTAGGGCGTAGGGCTAAACCCTAAACCCTAAACCCTAAACCCTTGGGGCTTAGGGTCCAGAATTGAACCCTGAACCGCATACGGGGAGCCGTACCCCCTTTGCGCTTGTTTTGTCGTGGTTCCACAAATGCTTAAAACCCTCCGCCCTGACCCAAGCCTATAGGACCCCGTGCGTTCCCGACTTGTTTGTCCCTTGTTAGGGTTCGGTGCCCTCCAGGCAAGGTGTTCGCGTACGCTAGACCCTAAACGCAAATGCCCAAAACCCGAACCGAAAGTTCTGTGCGTTTAAGGACGATGCCAGCACTTGAGGCAGGAGACACCTTGTGAGCTGGCCGCACTTCGGTGGGTTTACGGCTTGCGGTTTCGGACGGGCTCGGCGTTTTATGTGTGCACAAGAGCAGGTTCCGCTAAGTAGGGAATAGGTTTTAGGCGTTCGGTGGCTAGTCACGAATAGGGTAAAGAGAAAAGATGGGTTAGTCAGTCCTAACAGCCTTCCCTCGGCTACTTATCGCCCGTTTCAGGACTTCCCTAAGCCCTAAATCCTAAACCTTAAACCTAAGCCCTGAACCCTAAACCTTAAACCGTAACCCTAAAGCCCAAAGCCTACGGCCTAAAGTGCAAACCCAAACTACCCGTGACACCTTTGATGCAGAGTTGGGGTTACTGCAACATCCTGCGAGTGACTTAAGTTTTCGGGTCCAGGGTTTAGGGTGTAGGTTTCAGGGCTTTGGGTTTTAAAGCGTTCAGGATTTGGGGCTGAGGATTTCGGATTGTACGTGAATGGATGAACAACCTAGGCCCCAAAGTCTTCGTCAAAGGTAACCCACCTACCCCCACGGCCGCCCGCATCACCCTGTAGCCAGCAAGAAGCTTGAGAGTCCCCGGGCCGATCTAAGAGTGCTGGCCTCTAAACTCACAACAGATCACGTCAGCTTGCTGCCAGGCGCTTTAGAGTCCTGGCGCCTAAAACTCACCCGAAATCCTTTAGAAACATGTCTGCCTACTTTGCAGTTCTTTTGAGAAATAAGCACTTTTGTGTTCTTTTTGATAACAGAAGAGACCTCCTTGGCTTGCTGGCCATGGTTGGGTCGCGCGCGTCGCGGTATGCTTCCTTCGTGTGCAGCCTGGCCATGAACGAGGCCTCGACTGCTCTGGTCGCCAGTGGAGCCTCCGAGTCCCTCCTGATCCACCTCTGCGCAGGCCAGATACCGGAAGGGTGAGAGGTGGCCCCTTAAAGAAGGTTTTAAGAAGTATAGCTACCGTAGTTCTGTAGTCCCCCCCCCTGTTTTGTATATAAACCACCCTAAGCCGTCCTACCCGTGAACCTCCAAGCAGGCAACATGAACCTGGTGCAGCGCTTTGAGGCCTGGGTGAACTCTGCAGGTACCGCGGCAGATTTTCTGCTCAAGCCGTCGGTTGGCACCGGCTTGGATGCTCGGACGCCCAGTAGGGCCCTTACTCCCTTTTCCCAGCAGTACCCTTACTCCCTGTCCTTTTCAAGCGGGGAGGGGGGGCTTCTCATAAAACTTCATCGAGGTCTAGGATTTAGGCCTTTAGGGTTTTAGGATGCAAGCAGAGGGATGTTACCCCTTATACTAGGGGGTTACTATAATCCCTATTGAGGACTATTAGTTCGGAAAAGGGGGGAATCTGCCAGTGTAAGCATGACAGGAACCCCCCTTTTTATATTGAGGCACCGGGCCACCGAGGATGCCTTTGGCAGGAGCTGGGCCCTGGTGTTGGCTCAGCTGGGCTTCGCACTGCTTCGGGCCCTGACATGGAAGGCTTTGTAGCTGAATGAGTACACTTTACACCTTTCTTGGGGATACGAGAATCCCATATATAGAGAACTGAAAGTCTACACTTTTGGGGGGCTTGAATGAACTCAGTAACTTCGAAGGTCCCCACCATGGCCATCTACACCCTGCTGCGGGTGGGCGTGCGCCTGCTTGGTAACCTCTACGGCCCGGCTGTGGCCGCCACCTACGCGGACCTCGTGGGCGGCCGGGCTTCCCCCAACTTCGCGGGGGCTGTTCAGCACAGCCAAGTCTTCCTTTCCGGTGGATTTTTTGCTGCACTGCTTTGGGCGGCTCGACTGCAGAAGCCGGCCTACTGCTTCGGAGCCGCAGCTCTGTGCAATCTCAGCTCAGCCTTGCTGGTGCTTCACGTAGGCGAGACACGCAGGCAGGAGCACACCAGGAGCTTCGCTGGCTTCGCTCCCTTCCGCTGGGTCTCATTCTTCAGACAGACTCCACGCCTCAGGCGCCTGGCTGTGGCGCTCCTTCTTGGACACGTCACTTCCAGCAACCCGACCGACCGCTTCGTCCTCTTCTCCCGACTCCTGGATGTTGAGCAGGAAGCCTGAAGCCTCATGTAGGGTTTGGGGACTGTTTTGGGGTTTGGGCTTGAACCTTTTTCTGTGGATCCCTGACAAATCCTCAAGACCATCATTTTTCTCCACCCCAGCAAAGTAAGGATTTGGACTGACTGCACAGCAGCGAAGTAGGATGAGCGCCGTGGAGGCACTCTTGCGTATGCCCCTTCAGCTGCTCGTGGTGGGGCAACAGATGCTGGTGACTTGACAGGACTTTTGAGAGGCCCTAAACCCTAAGCCATAAGCCCTGAACCCTAAACCCTAAACCCTAAACCCTAAACCCTAAACCCTAAACTCTTGGGGATGCCTTGTTGTGATCTAGGATGAGTCCGAGTTTGTTAGTTGCGAAAGCTCGTGAAGGCGGCTCCGCGACCACAGGCACCATATCACTGCTGCACTCTTGCTACTGCCGAAGCCCTCAACCCTAGAACCTCTGAACAGTCGGGTTTAGGGTTTAGGGTTTAGGGTTTAGGGTTTAGGGTTTAGGGTTTAGGGTTTAGGGTTTAGGGTTTAGGGAACAGTTGCTGCTGCAAGTCAGTACCATCACCGCAAGCACAAGTTGCCGCTAACAACTAGACAGCGTACTGCCGAACGCTCGTTCTGTGTAGTTACAGGGTGTAGGGGGTAATCTTCAAGCATGTAAGTGAGAGACTTGTTTACATATCTAGAGGTTGCCTTTTCTTGCCAAGCATATGATGACATGTCATGAATATGGGGGTTTACGATGTTAGGGGGACCTTAGAAGGGTCCTTATGAGAAGTGGATCCTACTACCTGGGCATCCATATTGGGGGTCCCCTTTTTTCGTAAATCCCCCATACTGATGTGGGGCTTCCTCTAGATTGGGGTCTCCTTGGGGCCTCTTATCTTAAGGGCACCCCAAAGAAACCATACTTCTCGATCTGCCCACATGCTAAGATTGCAAGATTGTGTAAAGTGCCTGAACCCTAAACCCTAAACCCTAAACCCTAAACCCTAAACCCTGAACCCTAAACCCTAAACCCTAAACCCTAAACCCTAAACCTTGAACCCTAACGCTACGCTGAGGAGCGCCTGGGAAACGAGGGCGCGGCGCGATGGAGCTCCCGCGCAGCTGCCTTGGAGAGGCGATGGGGGATTGGTTTTAGGGTTTAGGGTTTAGGGTTTAGGGTTTAGGGTTTAGGGTTTAGGGTTTAGGGTTTAGGGTTTAGGGTTTAGGGTTTAGGGTTTAGGGTTTAGGGTTTAGGGTTTAGGGTTCATTTCTTCAGGTGGTCCGGAGTTTGACCGTCTCAGTCGTAGGTTGGCGTGGCTAGTCCCGAAAGCTTCAATGTTGGGGGTTTTTTTCGCTGGCAGCCCTCAGCCGTACTCGCTGCCGCTGAGCCGTGCCCCTGCGTGCGTTTAAGCCCTAAACCCTAAACCCAACTTCGAATACTCGTTGGAGACCCTAAACCCTAAACCCTAAACCCTAAACCCTAAACCCTAAACCCTAAACCCTAAACGGGCTGGGGCTCAAGGACATGCAGAGGCTCGGGGTTTGAAGGATCTCATCTTGGAGGCTGTTGTCGGATGGCTTAGGCTCAGAGACGTGTCAGGGTTCAGGGTTTAGGGTGCGGTGTCACGAACTTCCTAGGTAGGATAAGGGGGACCCTTAAAAGGGAACCCCTTCTTAACCCTCTTCTGGCTCTCTTAAACAGGGACCTTACACAGAGGGTCTATATCCCCAAGGGCTAATCCTATCCCCTAGAACTTGTTGTTCTTTCATTGTTGTGCGTTTCAGGACAAGGTGGGAGTAGACCCAAATTCCCTCTTTTGAGGTCCCTGCAGACGTCCCATCCCATGGCCTTGGCCCTTTTGCCTTTCCGTATGACCCTAAACCCTAAACCCTAAACCCTAAACCCTAAACCCTAAACCCTAAACCCTAAACCCTAAACCCTTTGTTCTTAATCATGATTCGGCTCAACCATCTGCACCTCCAGCGCAGGATCACTCACCCCATCGCTGCACAACTTTGAGCTCGAATCAAAACAGCATATAGAATATCATGTTATATATATATATATATATATATGGTGCCCCCCCCCATGTACCTACCATATTTTGCTTATTTGGTTGCTTTTTTGTCTCGACGGTTTCGATTTTCGGCATTCTGCTTACGCGAACGACGAGGGAAGAGTGGCTGGCAGCACGAAATTCACGGATAACATCGGTATTACCAATGTTTTTCATAGATGAAGCCCGAAAACATCGGTAAAACCAATAATTTCCAAAAAATCCATGGTTTTCAAACCATGTGGCTGCGAGCACCCTAATCACGGATAACATTGGTTTTACCAATGTTTTTCATAGATGAAGCCCGAAACATTGGTAAAACCAAGAATTTCCAAAAATCCATGGTTTTCAAACCATGTGGCTGGGAGCACCCACATCACGGATAACATTGGTTTTACCAATGTATTCATAGATGAAGCCCGAAAACATCGGTAAAACCAATAATTTCCAAAAAATCCATGGTTTTCAAACCATGGGGCTGGGAGCACCCAATTCACGGATAACATTGGTTTTACCGATGTTTTTGAAGGATGGAGCCCAGAAACATCGGCAAAACCAATGTTATCCGTGAATGTCGTGGTCTAAGCCACATGGTTTGAAAACCATGGATTTTATGGATAACATTGGTTTTACCGATGTTTTCGGGCTCTATCCTTCAAAACATTGGTAGAACCAATGTTATCCGTGAATTGCGTGCTCCCAGCCACATGGTTTGAAAACCATGGATTTTATGGACAATATTGGTTTTGCCGATGTTTTCGGGCTCCATCCTTCAAAAACATTGGTAAAACCAATGTTATCCGTGAATTGGGTGCTCCCAGCCACATGGTTTGAAAACCATGGATTTTATGGACAATATTGGTTTTGCCGATGTTTTTGGGCCCATCCTTCAAAAACATTGGTAAAACCAATGTTTTCCATGATTTTCGTGATCTGAGGCTCTCTCCCAGCCACCATCTCTCGAGGTAGTACCAAGCAACAAACTCGAATCCTGCAAAATCTCGAGAGAGTACCAAAACCTCCTTATAATCAATCACGCCCCAATACGCAAGACATGACATCTGTCCTAAAAACTATACGTTAGCTACGATATCTCAAACAATCATCCCCCGATAAGCAAGACCTAATGTCTACACTAAAACTGTACCTTTGCAACATATCTTAAGACATCACGCCCTAAGGCTCATACCAATTTAATAAGGTTCCTATCAATGTTAACAGGATTCTTATGCATGTTACTGGGATTCGCATAGGATTCTCATTAATTTTGAAGGATTCCCATTGGATTAGGCTCATACTAGTTTAGTAGGATTCCTATCAGTTCTTGTTAAAGGATTCTATTGTTGTTAAGGCCTATTGGTTCCTATTGATTTAGAAAGATTCCTTCTCGTTTTAATAGGATTCCTGTGAATTGTAACCCGGGTTCTTTCTAACTTGTTAAGGGTTCCTATTCATTTTAATAGGCTTCCTTCCTATTAGCTGTTGTCCGGCTCCGATAATTCAACAGAGGATTCCTATTTACTTTCAGAGGATCCCAAAAAAAGTTTCATAGGGTTCCTAATTATTAATAAGGCCCCTATGTTTTGTAATAAGAGTCCTATCAATTTTATTCAGATTCTTATTCGTGTTAATGGGGTTCGTGTTAATATTAAACTGGATCTCATTCACTTTCAAGGGATTCCTGTTGGTTTAGGCTCATGTTCACTTTAGGCGGATTCCTATTATTTTTCCAAAGGTTCACGTTCTGTCTTATAGGAGTCCGATTGGTTTCTATTAATTTGAGTAGGGTTCCTCTTCAGTTTAATAGGATTCCTATTATTCCTGTTAATTCTACGAAAATGTTGAGAGAGTACCAAAACCTCCTTATAATCAATCACGCCCCAATACGCAAGACATGACATCTGTCCTAAAAACTATACCTGAGCTACGACATCTCAAACAATCATCCCCCGATAAGCAAGACCTAATATCTATACTAAAACTGTACCTTTCATCACGCCCTAAGGCTCCTACCAATGAAACACGGTTCCTACCAATTTTAACAGGATTCTTGTGCTTGTTGCTGGGATTCGCATAGGATTCTCATTAATTTTGAAGGATTCCTATTGGATTAGGCTCATACTAGTTTAGTAGGACTCCTATCAGTTCTTGTTAAAGGATTCTATTGCTTTTTGAGGCCTACTGGTTCCTATTGATTTAGAAAGATTCCTTCTCGTTTTAATAGGATTCCTGTGAATTGTAACCCGGGTTCTTTCTAACTTGTTAAGGGTTCCTATTCATTTTAATAGGCTTCCTTCCTATTAACTGTTGTCCGGTTCCGATACTTCAATAGAGGATTCCTACTTACTTTCAGAGGATCCCAAAACAAGTTTCATAGGGTTCCTAAGTATTAATAAGGCAATAAGGCCCTATGTTTTGTAATATGAGTCCTATCAGTTTTATTCAGATTCTTATTCGTGTTTAATTATGGGGTTCGTGTTAATATTAAACGGGATCTCATTACTTTCAAGGGGTTCCTGTTGGTTTAGGCTCATGTTCACTTTAATCGGATTCCTATTATTTTTCCAAAGGTTCACGTTCTGTCTTATAAGAGTCCGATTGGTTTCTATTAATTTGAGTAGGATTCCTCTTCAGTTTAATAGGATTCCTATTTACCCTATTAATTCTACGAAAATATTCTCATTAATTGTGAGGGGCCTCCACTTAGTTTTAAGACTGCTTCCTGTTGACTTTGCGGCTCCGATTAATTTAAAATAGGGTTCCTATGGATTTAAATAGAGGATTCCCATTGTTGTTTCTAAGATTCCATAAAGTTGTCCCATTTGTTTTAGTAAGGCTCCTACAACTTTAATAAGATTCCTATCAACTTCAGTATTGTTCTTTCTCATTTGAATAGGGTTCCTATTGAATTTATTAGTAATAAGGGTTCTCATTCATTTTAAAGGGTTTCTTATTCATTTTAAT